GGCAGACAGTTCACACTCATGCAGACATCCTCCATTTAACTCTCAGATGGGTCCCCAAGATAAAGATGTGGAAACTGAGGCAGAAGAATTGAGAACCTGGGATCACTCAGCTGTTGTGTAAGATTGGAATATACTGACCTGAGAACATGTCCATGATAAGGATTTTGAAAGCAAAGAACAGGACATTATGAGTGAGAATAAGGAGGAAGTCCGTCTTTAGACAGACGGATAAGGGAAGGTTGCCTTGAGGAGTCCTGCGCGCTGAGACGTAAAGAAATCAGCAAAGCGCCAGATGAGGTGGCTCATGCCTGTAATCCCAGCACTGTGGGAGGCTGAGGCGGAAGGATCACCTGAGGTCAGGAGCTCAAGATCAGCCTGGCCAACATGGCAAAACTCCATCTCCACTAAAAATACAAAAATTAGCCAGGCATGGTGGCATGTGCCTGTAGTCTCAGCTACTTGGGAGTCTGAGGCATGAGAATCACTCGAACCAGGGAGATGGAGGCTGCAGTGAGCTGAGATAATGCCATAGCACTCCAGCCTGGGCAAGAGAGCGACACTCTGTCTCAAAAAAAAAAAAAAGAGAGAGAGAGAATGAGAGAATGAAAGAAGGAAAGAGAAATCAGCAAAGTGAAGAACTGAGAAAACAAATTCTGATGAGAAGGAACAAGGAACAATATGTGCAAAGGACCTACGCCAAGAAAAAACCTGACATACCTGAGGAACTAACACACACCAGGTATGAAAGAGAAGAAAAGGGGCCTACAGAAGACACTGGATCATGCAGGATCTAATAGGCCATGGCAAGGATTTCAGATTTCATCCTATGTGCCAGGGGAGGTCATCAGCGGGATTCAGTCCCAAAATGACATGGACTGATTTACCGGGACCAAGTATAGCACAGAGCTCGTCACACAAAGGGGATGGGCAAAAAGCTGTGGAACATCTGAATAAACAGACTCAAACTTGATTTCCAAGACGAGGAGAACTGCTGGCTTTACAGAAAGAAAAGCAAGATTTCAGCCTTTGCCCGTAAGAAGAACAAACAGTTTCACCTAATCCAAATTCGCTTTCATGCCTCTCTGCCTAAGCGGCACACAGAGCCGCTGAAATCCACAGGCGCATCATGACAGAATAATTTCAGTGATCATTATCAAATGCCTCTATTTAGAAAAGCTCAGAAGATTGTATTAGCATGATCCAATATTTATGAAATGACTCTCTGCCGTAATGAGGGGCTGAGAAAATTAAGATTAGAAGCAAAAGCCATGTCTTTGGGGACAGAGAGTAGCATGAGCAAAAAGACACACTTTTACTCAGCTTCTTAGAACTTGCTTTTCCGATCTGTAAAATGGGAAGGATAGTAACAAAGAGGAAAATACATGTTCAGTTAGTAGAGCACCTAAAGGCCTTTAATAATGTTTTTTTCTTTCATTCCTTTGTTAATAAAAACACCTAATAAAGACTATTTGCCCATCCACACATCCATCTAACAAACTGCTAATTTAGTACATAGGATGTCTGATGTCCTGCATCAGACACTGAAGATAAAGTTGTGAACAAGATTCTCATGGTCCCCATTCACATGGAACTTCTCATCTGGGAGTAAAACATGTATTGGATGAACAACCCCTGCTGTGATGCGTGGTACTAAGGAAAAGGGCAAGGTGCACTAGGAACCATTACAAAGAGAGCTGACCCAGACTGAGACATGAGGAGGACGCACAAGACAGTGGGTGGGGGAAAGGCTCCATGGAGGATGCCGATCTTATGTGAGTTCCCGAGGCAGGAGAGAGTCAAAACATTCTGGCAACTGGCAGAAGCCAGTGTAAAGTGAGCACAGTGGGATGTGGAGCATCATGATGATTTGGAGGTTTAAGGAGGATCAGCCCTCAGAGCCTTGGAGTCCACAACAGGGCTTTCGTCTTTCCTGGAGCAATGAGAAGCCTCAGAAAGGCCTAAAACAGAAGCTGCGTAGAGACAAGAAAGAAAAGAAGTAACCTGAATATGCTTATATTCTAGAATAATCTCTTGGACATCTGTTTGGAGAATGGATTAAAGTCAAAAGAGTTAAGTCAAGGAGCCTGTTAGAAAGTTTTCCACTGACCCAGGAAACAGACAATGGCTGTGTTCACCAGGGCAGTGGTGGCACAGATGGAGAGGCTTGGGCAGACCCAAGATATACTTAGGCAGTAAAATGGCAGAGTGAAGTGATTGGCTGGAAACGCAGGTAAGAGAGAGAACAAAGAGAAACATGGCCCCCGGGTTTCTGAATCAGTACCAGTAGGGTGAAGTGAGCTTTCTGGAGTCAAGGAACAGTGGAAAGTGAGTAGACAGGGAAGGGGAAATGGGTAAATCAAGAGTTCGGTTTTGGAGATGTTGAGCTTGGAGAGCCTACAACATGTTACAGGGCTTTAAGTGGACTAAAGATGAGGAGAAAGAGCATATATGAACACACACACACTCCTATACACACACATATGCACACACACACACAAACACACTTCCCATACATCCCCCCCCACACACGTATACCTCCATACACACAGACCCCCATACACATATATACACACACACACCCATATGCTCCCATACACATGCATATACACCCTCCATACACACACATACACCCCCATACACACACCCCCATACACTCCCATACACACACACCCATACATTCCCATACCCACACCTCCATACACTCCCATACACACCCATACACTCCCATAAACACACACCCATACACATGCACACATACCCACACACACACCCTTTACACCCCCATATGCACACACACACACCCCACATACACACTCATAGACATGCATACACACATATACCAATACACACACACCCCCAATACACAGGCATGCACACACAACACACCCATACACCCCCATACACACACACACTGATATACGCCCATACACTCACACACACACCCCCATACACATGCACACACACCCTCCATAAACGCACATCCATATACATACACCCTTACACTCCCATATGCAGACACATATACACCCCCATACACACACACACACACCCCCATAGACATGCATATACACATACACCAATACACCCCCATACACATACACACACATACCTACACCAGTACTCAGGTATGCACACACACCACACCTATACACGCCCATACACACACACACATACACACATGTATACACACACGTATACACACTGTAACATCCAGATTTATTTGGCCACTATCAAAGAGGGCCATGAAGAGTAGAGCAGATGTTATATGTTTAAGCAGAGGTGTCTTGGATTCTTGGGATCCCTCATGGGATGGGTGATTCTATCATCTAAACCAGGCAGTACTTTTGATAAAGTCAGCATGATTGGGCAAAAGAGGTTGTTCCACACTGTCTTACTAATAGGCACGCACACACACACACCTGTTGATGACTTTGCTCATTCAAAATAAGGTCCCACCAGATCTAAAATGCTCAATTTTGTACCACAGCCCAACCTTATTATACCTAAGGCTTGTAACAACACTTGGGAGAAATTTATACAATTAATGCCCTTAATAGGAGCTATCCATAACCATCCAGTGCCTCCTGCTTTGCAGCCAGACTCAAAGTGAATGAGGCCACATCCTCACCCTCACCTGGGCATCTCTGAGCAGCTTCTTTGCTCCCAGTTGAGTGGCATCCTGGAAAACCCCATTCTCCAGAGGTAACCAAGATGACATGGCAGCTGGCAGTGGGCTGTGTAGGTGTAAAATTCCTAAGAGACATCTAGGCTGGAGGCATAAATGTCAGAATCACCAGCACAGAGGTGGTATCTGAGGCCATGGGAGTGGTTGAGGCCAGCCATGGAAAGAACACCAAGTAAGCCTGAAAGAACTCTTAATACTCCATGGCCAGAGTGCACTGGCAGGGGAGACTGAGAAGGAGCACATGGGGGACTGGTGAAAACCAAGACAGGTGTGGGTTAAAGCGAGGGAGCCTTTGGTCAGGGAGAAACTGTAGAAAACGGCCTCCCTTCTCCAACAAGCAGTTGTCTTTACAACTGTAGCCGGGATATGTGATTATTCAGAGAAGTGAGCTTCACTTTCTCAGAGTCGCAACTCTTCCTGGCTTCTATCACCAGGTAAGCCTCTTCAAGGTGCACCTTACGCAGGCATACCGCACATTTGGAGTCTAAGTGTTCTCTCTGAGTAGACCACCTTCAGGTACTTCCCCTGAAACACATCAGGTGTACCTCATAGGCCTGCCCCATGCAGGTATCCATCAAGAATTCACACTAGGCCTTCAGGCCCACCGGTTAAGGATAAAATGTTGATATTTAGAATGTCAGGATGTTAACCTTATAATATATAATAATAATAATATAGTAATATATAATATGTTATACAATAATATAGCCTTATAAAAATCTGTGGAAGTATCCCTAAATATATATATAAATAATATATACTACATAATGTACATAATATAATGTGTGATATATAATATAAACTTAGAATCATCTGACTGTAGAAGTCTCCCTAAATCTATAAAATATACGTAAATAATATAACACATAATAACAGATAACAATATAATATATAATAATAATAATAAATACAACCTTATAATAGTCTGACTGTTGAAGTTTCCTATATGCAACCTATGTCTATGTGGCCTGGAAGAAAAGGAGTGACCTCAAATTCTTCAGAAGCTCTTTCTTTCCCTGACATGCCACTATCATCAGGCTCCTAAGCAAAACCCAGTGATACCCTACTTGTAGCTAAAGCTTAGAATCTCAAAGCTAAAAGAAATGCTGAATCCAGGTGACATGTGACTAGTACCAAATCCTGAAGAATTCATTCAGTCTTGGCTTGAACACCTCTGAGTGTGGGGAACTCACTACCTACAGAGCTATCAATTGCCATCTCAGAGCACTCAATGTGTAAGTGAGTTATTCTCTCCATGATTCATGGTAAAATCTAGCCATCCCCATTACAGCCCCAAACATGATGGATCTCATACCTGTGGGCACCGCCTGGTCCAGCATTGGTTTCTCCCATGTGTTAATCTGCTCCCAGGTGAACCCATTGGTCCCTAGAGCCACACTATAACCACAGTTGCTGTAGTGCTCATCAAAGGAACAGCCACCTGCAGACAAAAGAGATAGGGGTAAATACATTTCTGTGTCTGAGGCTTGGTTCATTACCTCTGTCTCGTCGGCTCTTCATTTACAGCTTTGAATTTTAAACTCTGGAGATTTTCTTTATATATACATATATATATATGTATATATGGACGAGCAAATTGGATTTTTATATTTGCTTTGGTGCTCTCAGGAAAGGCACTGGCATCTGCAGGCCCCCGTATTTAGAAAAGTTAATAAGGCTAGTTACATTGATTTTAATCTTCCTTCCTGAGAAAGTAAACAGCAGCGTGTTATTCTAAGTAGGAAAAATGAATGCCGGGGCATGCCTCCGTAATTGCTTTGTGCAGCACGGAGAGAGGCTGTGAGGCAGCAGAAGGAGCACTCACTTCCGAGTCTGGCAAAACTAGACAGCCATCACCTTCACAAGGTTGCGTGAGTTCAGGCCAGATGCTTCGTACCTGAGCGTCTCCGTTTCCTCACCTGTGATACAGAGGGAAATGTCCAACCTTACAGAAATACATGAGGATTAAATGGAATAACATGTGAAAAGTAACTGCCACGGAATACTTTCTCAATGCCCACCTGTTTCTCTGTAAAAAGCAGTCTGAAAAATCATTTTTCATGGAGTGAGAATTGAATTGGTAAGAAATTAGACAATCATGCACCTGGAAGATAATAAAGTCAATGTTGATCATGTGTGAAGCTTCTCCCTTTAACTTTAAAGGTCAAGCCATCCACCATTTGACAATAAGTTATATTCATTTGCTGTTGACAAGGATTCACTGAGCATATGCTCTGGGCTGTAAGTCCCATCAAGGTGACATTGAGAGAGATGTGGGGTGTACAGTGGAGGCTCCAACTAGGAAACGCTGGTTTGTCCAGAGAAATAGGATCCCATTATATTCTGAAGGAGAAAGCAGAAGAAGTGGAGGAGAAGTGAATAGGGCTTTGAAGGATAGGGGCATCTCCAAGGGCAGAGGGCAGGATGAATGGCATTCTGAGTTGAGCCTGCAGGGGACACAAATGCAGGGAGGTAGCACTGGGACTGAGTTCTACAGCAGCTCCTGGCTGGTCTCCCAGACCTGTTTCACACTCCAATCCATCTTTTCTAATGCTCCTTTCTTGACTCCTTAATGTTCAGAGGGTGCATCACATCACCATCTTCCTCCTTTAAACACTCATAGGTTTCCCACCCCACAGAGAACCAATGTGTGTTACAGATTAAATGTCTGAAAGCCCACAAAATTCAGTTCAACCCCCAAAGTGACAGTATTAGGACACATGGCCTTTGGGAGGTGATGAGGACATGAAGGCAGAGTCCATGTGATTGGGACTGGGACTGGGACTAATGCCCTTATAAAGAGACCGCAGAGAGTTATCTCACCCCTTCCACCATGTGAGGACACAAGGAGAAGGTGCCATCAAAGAAGCAGGAGCTGGATAAGCAGTGGTGGTGGACATCCTGTTGACGAATTTGAGATATAACACAGTCCAAACACCACGGAAGAAAACCTGTAATAGAAAAACTTTCTCCACTTTTCTTTCCTGTTGGATATGGACACCCAGAAGAGCTGGATTTCAGCAACTACTATGGTCCAAATGTGTGTGTTGCCCTGAAATTCATATGTCGAAACCTAATCCCCAATGTAATAGTATCAAGAGGTGGAGCCTTTGGGAGATGCTTCCAAAGGATTGTGAGGGCTCTGTTCTCAGGAATGACATCATGCCCGTATAAAAGATGCCCTAGGCAGATTGTTCACCCCTTCTGCCATGTGAGGACTCATAGAAGGTGACATCTATAAGGAATGGACCTTTACCAGGTACCAAATCTGCTATCACCTTGATCTTGAACTTGCCAGCCCTCAGAACTATGAGCAATAACTTTCTATTGTTTAAATAACCCAGTCTAAGGCATTTTGTCATAGCAGCCAAAATGGATTAAGACAGCACCCCAGTAAGCATCTCCACTCTGTAGAGGAAAGCCACCCAGAGAGTCACCTGACCAGGAATATTAGCATTCAACTTTTCAGGAGCAAAATATAAACTTTGCTTGCCATATGCCACTGAGATCTTAGGGTTTAATTGTTAGCACCGTAGAGCTTTGTACAATCTGACTAATATATGAAGTGTGTCATACCTCAGCACAGTGATCTAAAGAAAGAAAGAAGAAGCATATTCTCCCAAGCACTTGCTCTGTGTCAGGCAATATATTCAACACTGATTATATAGGCTATCTCATTAGTTTTCACGTAACCCTCACAAATCATGTGAGGTACATTTTATCTCAACTTTAAATCTAAGGGAATTGATGCACTGAGGGGATAAATGACCTGCTCAGACAACATGGAAGGAAAGTGTTGGAGCCAATATTAAATCCATGGTAACATAGCTGTAGAGCCCATGCCCATTCTAACAGACCAGAGAGAGAACTATTCCCCCAAACCAAGGGCAAGGTCTTTCACTTATAAGGTAATGAGAGGGACCAGGCAGATAAAGAACTTCCAAGGTGGTTGGGAATCTCCATTCAAATCTATTCCTTCATTTATTCTAGAAACATTCAACAAAGTTTTTTTTTTAATGGGCTCAGGACATGGCACAGAATTGATAGATATGATCCTTACCCTCACAAAGTTTGCAGAATAGACTGAAAGATAAGCATGCAAATATACACTGAAGATGCAATGGAAAATATGCTTTCTTATGTATGTGTTGATGCTAAAAAAAAAAGAGTTATTATTTTAGTTGATGGTTTAGTTAACCAAATTATCTTCCTTCTTCTAGATAAGATTTAAGAGGGCTCACAGCTATACCTCTAGGCATCGCAGGTTACAGATCCCAGGCAAGGTCACATTAATAATTGCCTCTAGTCCGTTGGATCCATTGCTCACCCCTCACCTCCTTGCCTCTGCTTAACTGTAGGTAGACTGCTCAGCTGATCCTGAGCTTACTGCTGACAGGTCCTGGCCCTCTAAGGACTAGGGATGTACCTTCTCTTCACAGCCACTCACTGAACCACCTTGCTTCTCCTCTCTGCTGAGCTCTGTTGGTCACTTCAATCTGCAGCAGGTAAGCAAATGCTTTTCCCTTCTTACAGTCTGTTCTTTGAAACTAGGGTTCCACAGCAGCAGGCCTTGGACCCCAGTGACCCAATTTTTATTTTCAAACCACAGTCCTTTCTTTGCCTCTGCAGAAGAGCTCACTTAGAGTGAATTTAAAAGCAGCTTTGCACTCTATCTTGAGCCACTATTTCTTCAGAATATTCAGGCCCCACTGTCAATTCTATTCCACTCTGCCAGTATTTGTCATCACTTACGGGATAACATATGCATTCAGGACAGAAAATGGGGACCTTAAGGTCACTTATGGGGACCTTAATGTCCCTCCTACAGAAGAGTTTCTAGAAACAGGCTCCAGTTCCGCACTTTTATCACTCATACACGTCTGAATGCCAGCAATACACACAGTTGGTGATTTTTCCATGGAGCCCTTGGGCTCCCAGGAAAGCAGAGAATTTCAAGAAATGCTGCCTAACTGGTCACTGGTCCAACCAAAGCAGCAGGTTAAACATAGAAGCAGGAAATACTGCATGATGACAAAAATCAAATTGAGGACAGGAAAAGAAAGAAAAGCAGGACAGAAGGAGGGAGCCACAAATCTATGCTGCGATTTTCCACGTGTTCCTCTACTAAAAGGGGGTTACATATTTAACTAGGAGCTTCTGACACCCAATAGAAAAAAAGCAAAACCTGGTGAGGTACTGGAAACTCTGTGTTTATATAATAAAAGCCAAATTGCTCAGGGAAATGATAACCATTTCAGGTGCTTTGATCAGACAAGAACTTCTCTGCAGGAATACTCATAACAGAAACCCCATATCCCATAATGAAACAACATCCACACAAGGTGGTGAATGGCCAATTTCATGAGACTGCTTCTCATAATCATTCTCAATATAAATTGATAGCATCATGTAAACATACAATTCAGTAAAACTCATTGGGGTCCAACGCAATGCAGTCTGGATACCCGCTCCCTATTGGTCTGACTTGACTCAAAGGTAAGTTTTAAGAACTATTCAGCGGAGAAAATATACCTAATATGTATTTTTAGGCAACCTTTCTTAGTTTTCTGTCTCCCACATTGATAAATAGAGTAGCTATGAACTCAAGTCTATATAACCCAATAGCAGCTGACACTGCCATCTGGGTACAAACTCTTGGGCTCACATCCCTTCCCTTTTTTTGAGCCTTCATTTTCTGCTGTGCAAGGCAAGGGGCTGAACAAGATAATTGCAATGAACCTTCCACTTGTAACAGTGAAGAATTCCAGAGATTGAGAAAGAACCGGAACTCTCAGGAACCACAGAGATACAGACCCATGCAGTCAGCACAAGTACTGGCTAGGGTGCCATGCCACTGAGAGCCACCAAGAGGAGGAGGAGAAATTAAAACCAAGCTTCCCCTAGACCAAGAACAGAAAACATTTAAACCCAGTAACATCTATCTGTCTTGGCACAATTCCTAATGGCCATAACACCTGATACATACACAAAGGCCCCAAACATTGCTGCAGGTGTTTATGGCAGACTACTTAGGGGATATTTATGGTTCCAGAGAGTCCCTGATATGGTTTGGCTGTGTCCCCACTCAAATCTCATCTTGAATTGTAGCTCCCATAATTCCCACGTGTTGTGGGAGGGGCCTGGTGGGAGATAATTGAATCATAGGAGCGGGTTCTCGTGGTGGTGAATAAGTCTCTCAAGATCTGATGATTTTATAAGGGGTTTCCCCTTTTGCTTGGCTCTCATTCTTGTCTGCCACCATGTAAGATGTGCCTTTCACCTTCCACCATGACTGTGCTGCCTCCCCAGTCACATGGAACTGTGAGTCCATTAAACCTGCATTTTTATAAATTACGAAGTCTTGGGTATGTCTTTATCAGCAGTGTGAAAACGGACGAATACAGTCCCCAAAGACCCTCATTTGGATGCTAACCT